TGGCGTTCAGCAGAGGCTTTATGACGTCGAAGGGTGTGCCGGACGTTTCGAGGGCCGGCCGCGTGCTTTTAAAAGACTACGTCAACGGCAAGCTGCTGTTTTGCCATGCGCCGCCGACCGTCGACCAACTTCACTACAGCGGCTATGTCAGCGAGGCGGCGGACAGCCAAACGAACGAACACCGAAACTCCACCGACGAACGGTTGAAAATATTAGAGCGGAGGCACCTGATCGAGTGTGGTTCGAAGTCATCGAACTTCGACAAGGTTTTCTTCCAGACGACCCGTCCGGACGTGCATGTAAAGTCGTCCAAACTAGGCAAAGCGGGTGCTGACAGCGGCGGTTCGAGGAAGTACTTCAAAAACACTAAAAAGGAGAAACTTCGTCGCATTTACAAATACCTCGACGCGTAGCCTGTATGTATATACAATTGTTCGATTAAAGTTTTCATTTACATTGCTCGAACCTGTGAGAGAATGGCGGGCAGCGATCCCACAGTTGTGTTTTTGGGAAAGTTTGTAAGTGTGTTAAGTTTTGCTTCGTTTTGCGCAGCTGTTAATGTGCTGACAAGCTTACTGATCACCGCCGTACCGTACCGCCGTACGGCTTCTACCAAGCGCCTTTACATAACTGGCCCCAGTTGAACCCTTCTACCAATTGCGATTGCATGCACAACATGGAGCTCATTTCCATGTGCTACAGTTGGATTCCTAAGGCGTTGTGGTAAAGGCGGCTCTTCTGCGGTACTACCAGAATGTTTACCGATTGTCCCCTGCTTTAGCTCCTAAAATGAGTCTTCATTCGGTACTCAAACAGCATGCGATGTCATTATCAGGCTTTTTCAATCCGCTGCTGGCGGAAGGCCTCTCTAAGAATGCCACAAACTAATGTTTCCTTCCGTTTTCATCCGTCGTGATCTGTCGAACTTCTTTCGCTCATCCTGTTGTCAATCTGCATGTCTTCCTGCGGATCGGTCATTCTATTTCTCTTGTTCAGCGGTGGTTGGTTCTTGCCACTTAATCTTTCTTATTGAACAGACTCATGTTTGTCTTCTGAGCCATTCATTCGAGTTCCTATCTTTATTTCTTATTCCTAACATCTTTCAGTGGTATGAACGACTTTCAGCCCTAGGATCAACGTTTCGCCCCATAGGTTAGCACTGGGAACACACTTTCTGTCAGTTACACGAGCGTTTCCTTAAAAGAAACATTTTCAGTCTTCTAATACTGCTCCATGCAATTCCTACTATTCTGTTTATTGCATATTATCGGTTCTATGCCCTGATATGTCTCAGATAAACGTACTGTTACACCTCCTGAAGCCTAAGCCAGCTGCATTTCATGAGTCTTCCTAAGAGAGAGGCAGCAGTTTCCCGCACATGAAAAATGTGAGGCTGACTCACTTTCCCGTCTTCCAGTTGTTTGTCTTTATTCTAATCGTTCGCACAAACAGGTCATCCCTGATTTGTGGCGTTAGTTGCATTCTCAGCTTTTGGACGTTTCTGCTATAAAGTTCACCGGTTGCTGCATCGTATAAGTAACAGTTCCTCTCTGAACGCAGATCTGCTTCTGTCTTAATGATTATCGTTACATGTACAGTAATTAAGGTTTAATAAGCATAATTGTTTATTCTTTGTTTGCGTATATTCTTATATTTCTACTGCAACTACAGTGATTACTCTGGAATGGCATTAACAGTTGTATTTGTACGGTTGAATAAGTAATAATTATCATGAGCTATGGTGTTTTTATTTTTATTATCGGATAGTACTGTAACACGTGGAAAAATTCTGGGTGATTTTTTGAGTTCGAAACCAGTAAGAATTTTCAACATTAAGGCTGATTGGTAGTTCATTTTCGAATTTTACTTTCCGAACAGTTTTGGTTGAAGAAACCACGTTCTTCAATCGAGGGGTATGTATAAAATGTTTTAACGGTGTTGCTTTGATGTACGATGATTTAACTTTCTTGACTATTGGTCTTGCGCTGCTGACTGTTCTGCGAACCTTCCTGCCTTAAATCTGAATCTGACCCATCTAACGTATAGACGCGTTTCGTGAACGTTGTTTCCAGGTTTCCCTCCTGTCGGGGTGGCAGAAGAGGAACCATCGATTTATTGGAACTGCGCGAGTCTTGAGGCTACGTACATTCTTCACACAAGTGAAGCATTGATTATCCTCTACATGCAAAGATATGGTATAATATCTGAAATTCGGAATGAAATTTGTTGCTAGGTCACTCGGTTAATGTGCTGCTTATGGAAAGACTCTTCTATCCGCATTGATTCGCTGTGTTCCATTTCGTCGAACGCTAAATTTGCAGTCGATGTATAAGGTTTTGAATCCTGGCTAGGCCACTTGTCTTTCATTTTTTTAACGTAGTTAAACAGGTACCACTTCTTGAACAGGAAACAGGTGTCTACAGGCTATTGTAGCCATGCCACAAGAGACAGTTGAATCGTAAATATGGTATTCCTTGATGATGACATTCAAGTTGTTGTTGGCTCCTTACTGTAAACTTTATGAAAGTAGAGCATTACGATAGCACCATCAGGTGTAATGAATGCCGACATCCCAACTGTTTCATTTTCTCTTAAACTTCAGATCGAGCTTTCGGTTAGATTATTCTCGTTGCATTAATTCCTTAATTGCAGCGTTGAACGCATAAAATGTTCTTTATTTAAAAATATCTGACGTTTCAGACCAAATTTAGTCCGTTTCCAGAGTATAATTTCTGAAGACGGACCGAGCTTGGTCCGAAACGTCAGATGTCCCTAATATAAGAACATTTTATGCGTTGTCTTGCCGTTTGTGACTTACCAAAAGATTATATCATCTCCCGGATAAAAAAATCATGTAGTTTTTCAACATATATGTTTGAATTTGAGTTTGTTTAGTTGGCAGGTTGTCTCTACCAATGTATATTTATAGATATCCCTGCCAGTGTCACAAGCTTCATGTGGCGCCGGGGCTTGCGTGTCTCAGTGACCCTTGAAAATATGCCAGCGAAAGTTTAAGCTTCTGGTAGGGCCAGCCGTGCTGGACAGGTTTGATGCGATGGGCAAGATTAAGTGCGATCAATCATCTACCCATTAAGGTGTATTACAATAAAAATGTTCTTATACTAGATCGGTCTACGCCTCAGTTACCACTCATCGCGCAGGACGTTGAGGAACAGAGGTGATCAATAATAAGTAGGCGAAAGAACCTGTTTCACTTCTTTTTGCGCCTTAGGACATGACAGAATGGCGACGGGTACGCAAGCATTGGTCCAAAGAAGAAAACAAGGTTTTAGTGAGATGGTATTATATCGCTGTTAAGCACAGCAGGTGTTATCTGGAAGAATCGAGGAAGATCTGCTCACTCAGTTATGCATGCGAACAATGTACAGCGGACCAGAAACGGTTCACTGAGAAGAACACGCTGCGAACAGAATTGGAGCTGAATAAGATAAGAAGAGTGTTTGGTAGTGACACCATTGTAGAAGAGGATCAACCAGTTCAATACATTGGTGACATCCCAGATAAACCTACGTAACCAGAGGTCAGAATGTCTTATGTTAAGAAGTTATCCAGCTGAATGACACGTAAACGTCGCTTTGGCAAGAGATCTTTCGGGAGCTTGAATGGCTTGAAGAACCTAGGAGACACATCTTTCATATCAGAAGCAAGATTGAGCTGTGTAAACGTGTAAGTCAAGCTAACAGTATCCTAAAGACGAAACTAACCAGTAATTTGTAACTATCACCGTTGTGATATATGTGACAGTTCTTGTGATAACGAAGAACTGTGCGTTATGCTGAAAGCAGATCCGAGAAGAATATAACAGCGACCATGATTAAGAAGAATCAAGAACAAACAAGAAGAAATACGCCGAGTACCAAACCAACTACATCAACTGAACAGAGGCAATATAAAGACCTCATAAACGAATATAATGAAAACGTACGGGATTGGACCGGGCAAAACAGTCGAAACTGAATGTGAGAACGCCAAACAGAGCCGTTAGCTGCATTTTCAAAGCTCACGACATGAAAACAAGTTCGAGTGGTACAAACAACACAGATCTTTCGTTCACAGAAAAGCCATCTTTTACAAAGCTGTTTGTCGAAAACTGAAAGCAAAGAACAAACTTGCAAATAATGCAGAGACCGTCTGTCGGAATGCAGAAGAATCGCTTCAGTTATGGAGAAAGATATGAGATAATGACAAAGCCCACAACAACGAAGCAACCTGGGTAAAGGAAATACAGTGGAATGCAAATGAACTCTGAACAGTTTTAGGTCACAATCTCCGAAAACAATATCAACGAGGCGTTCATAGGCATGAAACACTGGGCAGCGCTAAACGCAGATCAAGTGCATGCCCTCTGGCTTAAACAGCAAACGTGTTTGCACTCACGGATAGCAGTGCTCTTGCAGAGACTGCTTGAAGAAAGGCCACTTTTACGGTTAACAGAAGGAGTGACATACTTGATCTTGAAGAACCAGAACATGAATTATGACGACGTGACTAATTACAGGTCGATCCTGTGTTTTGAACAGCCTGGAAACTCCTGAAGTCTGTATTAACCAGTGCAGTTTACGAGTATCTCCAGGCGAACAACAT